ACATAACTATTTTCGCAGTATTTGAGTTATGTCATGAGGCTCATAACACAACTAGTTGTGTTATGGACCAGGTTATGAATTCATAACACAACTAGTGGTTTTATGGACAAGGTTATGAATTCATAACACAACTATTTTTGCTGATTTGACAAATGTCAAAGGTAAACCTGTAAAGGTAAAATGAAGGTATACAACGACTAATAAATGAAAATGATTGGAAAAAAATTCCTATTTTTCGCTTTGTAGATAAAAAGTTGTACATCACACGTGCGTTTAAACATGACTACAAAACTCATGTGATTAGAACGACTCGGTCTACGACCTCGTCGTTCTAATCTTTCACACTCGTTATTGTAATCATGTTCATAAACGCACTTGTAATGTAAATAACTATTAGTAATCAGTGTTATATTTATCTCTTTATAGACTGTATTAGAAGACCTTCAGTTTACTCCAATACTCCAATCAAAATTTTAATGACAAAAACAGCCTTAAACTTCAGTTGTAGTTCATGGTCTAAGTTTTCATATCTTCACTTGAACATGATATTTTTCCTTTTTTTTAACTTCGTCGTAAATCTTCACATAACAAATACAAATGCAAAACAAAAGGATACAATTACAATTCCCGTCGGCCATCAACAACCGTCAACATAATTTTGAGGTTACATTTTACGTTAAAATTCATCAGTTCATCCGAAATGAACCTCGATGAATTCGATGGCTAATCGTACTTTCACCGATAAATGCAAGATGAGAATAAAAACAGACCGGTGAAATTCATCGATGTTTTACTGATGAGAATAAAAACAGCCAATGGGCTCTTTCACTAAAATTTAAATACGTAATTTAAGTATAAAATCTCAAAGGAGGGACTATTTTAGGCATATATACCAAAAAAAAAATGTTCTACAAGGTTCAATAAGTTTTTCATAGGCAATCAAAAGTGCCTAAATTCAAACTATTTTAAAACGCGCCGATTTGCCGACGTCACATAAATATTCTTCATTTCGCTTATGTCGTTGCAAGGAGGAAGGGCTCGGCTGTGTTTGCGCTCTGTAAAGATACGTAAAGGTTCGAATGCGCTGTTGTCGGTTGTGACTAAATGTAGTGCAGCGTAAAATAAATAAATAAAACTAAACATAAAAAATTGCATTAAATTGTATTTAAGCATAATTTAAAAAAAAAATGTTATAAAATCTTGAATCTATAACTAATTAATTTAACTACTTTTCATGATATTTTGCCAACATTTCAGAATTAAATCTATTACAAATTTTCAATGTTGACAATTAGTGGCAACACGGTCAAATTGCGAGCTGCGACGTCATAGAAATAAATTCTGGGTTTTTATTTGGAGGTATTTCTTTGTTTTCTGTTTTCTCAAGAAGGACTTTGAATTTTTCAAAAGTAAAAATACAGAAAATTCTGTTTTTAGTTGCTTTATCCAAATATGCCAATTTCAAAAATTAGTGAAAGAGCCCATTGACATTTACGCTTCATCGATGAGCGCATCGGTAAGAATAAAAACGCACGTAGTTATATTTATTTAAAAATAGTCTGGTGTTTCCTTTTACCTTTCCTCCCCTGTTATATTACGGACATTACTTTCATGGAAAATGAACTGTAAGAGGCTCTCTGACAATATTATCATTTTTTATTACCCCTGCATCATAATCAACGATTATCGTACGCTGCAGCCTGCATAAAAAGATTTTTATGATGCGCCTACCTTTTCAAAGATTTGCTATAGAAACGTTTGATCTACCTTTATCACCTAGATATGTACCTGCCGTTTAAGTTATAGTCTGGCAAGTGGTAACTTGGTAGAAACGAATTGGGGAAGAAAAGTGGGACGTAACCTAAAAATATTCACTGACACCTCAACTGACACCGCCATATCTTTGGGTTCAGTGGCACCGAAAACACCAAGGAAACAAACCAATAAAATTATTAGAATTTTTTTAATCTAGTTTCGCCAATAACCACGCCACTGCGTGCTGTCGTTTAGGCTCTTATTAGGGCATCCAATACCGGGATACCGAAAATTCGATATCCCGGAGTTTTTAGCCCGGTATTCCAATCCCGGTATTCTCTTTTCAATACCGAAATTTTCGGTATTTTCGGGATTAATGTTTGAATTTAATAATACTGGTATTATCGATATTTTTGGTATTATCGATATTTTCGGGATTTTCGCATGGCACCACTCGTCAGGCATGTGGCGACAAGTGGATTTGAAAAACAATTATTATAAAGGTTTTAGGGTAGTGCAGTTGGCAGTACTGGATCCGTAAACTGTGTTTGGTTGTTTAAGTTGTGTTGTCACTACAATTACCTATTATTTCAAGTGCAGAAAGTTATACTTTCCCGCAAGCGACTGCCGTTGACAAGCATTTCAACAAACTGGTAATATTTCTACTGGTGGGATGAGTGTTCGACCATTGCCAGGTCGAATATAGGTGAAGTCACCGGACACGAGAGTTCTGATCTCAAATCTGGTACCATTTGCGAATGACTGCTTGAAGATGGAGATTTTCTGTCAATTGTCAGAATTTTGTTATACAAATTATTCTTTCAGAAGTTACTTTTCCGCACTGAGTGCGGGAAAAAAACTTTCCTACACAGTGATACTTTCTGAACTAAAGTGAATACGGGAAAGTGGGCAAAATCGCACGGTCGTAGAAAAAATGATTATCAGAATTGTTTTTATTGAATGGGGTTTGGGTTGGGTGGGCCACTTTACCATTTGCCCGGTGGGCCAAATGAACCCCAGTCCGACACTGCCTTAATGATAGGTCGATTGACGGACTTCTATTTCTAAGGTCATATTTTAATACAAATGAAAAATAAAACATTGTCCCTGTATACTCATATTTTCACTACAAACGTATTTGTATTAATGTTATAATATAATGTAAGGAATAATTTAATAATAGTTATTTACATTACAAGTGCGTTTATGAGCATGATTACAATAACGAGTGTGAAGGTTTAGAACGACGAGGTCGTAGACCGAGTCGTTCTAATCACACGAGTTTTGTAGTCATGTTTAAACGCAACGTTTTATCTACAAAGCGAAAAATAAGAATATTTTTCCAATTATTTTCGTTCATTAATAGTTGTCGACCTTCATTTTACCTTTACAGGTTTACCTTTGACATTTGTCAAATCACCAAAAATAGTTGTGTTATAGACTCATAACCTTGTCTATAACACCACTAGTTGTGTTATGAATTCATAACCTAGTCTATATCACCACTAGTTGTGTTATGAGTCTCATGACGTAACTGAAATACTAGAAAAATGGTTAGGTAAAAACGTCATAACCAAACGCTTGTAGATAAAAGATTAAATTTGTCAATTCTCGTATAAATCCCGGTATTGAATACCGAAAATTCCGGTATTGAATACCGAAAATCGTGGTATTGAATATCGGAAATCCCGGGATTGGAATTTTAATTCGGTATTGGATGCCCTAGCTCTTATAACCAATAGAATCATGCCTCTGAATAATCACGCCCCTCCACATCCATCATTTCACAATGTTGTTGGATTTGTTACTATTTCAAAATACTACACATGCCCATATAGCAAAAAAAAAAAAAATATGTCACCAACTTGTTATTATTGTTTCCGTCAAGCTTGGTAAAGCAGCAAATTCTATTGCAGTTCGCCGTTTGGCTAGCCAGACAATATCTACTATTTATCATAATGAATAAACACATATAGAACATTTTTGAGACTGCATTCGATGTATTAGTAATAAAAATAGCGTATGATATGCGTGTATAAGAGCATTTAAAGCCCTTGCGACTTACAAAACACTCCGCTGCGCGTCGTGTTTTGGAATATGTAGCGCGTGCTTTAAATGCCCTCTTATACACTTATATCATAATATACAATTATGTGTCGTGAGCGTGAGCAACAATGTCTATTGTGAAAATGTGATGTCATGGGAAGAATTAGATCAGAAGTTTCGGCTCATCGAACAAAACAATGAATATGAAATATAGGTACTTATTCACCCCAGATTCTGAAGAAGTTATAAAAAATGTTTATACAACATAGATAGAACATGAAATGCTTGAGGCAAAAGCCTAAAAAGACACTATTTTTCACACAAAACATTCATCATTCAACATTCAACGGTGTGTGGCACAGCACAGAATAAATTGAGCTGCTGTTAAGAGGAGATAAAGGAAAGATTAAGAAAACTATACAAAGGATATAAATAGAGGAGATGAAACTTCAATTCGAATAAATATGCATAAACGTACGAAGAGAAAATTATACCAACTTGGATAGATTGAAAAGGTGTCTAATGATTTGTCCTTATCATTATTAGAAATATTAGATATCAATTGTTGTTTTTTCCATTTCACTGAGCAAATGTGGAATCAGTTAAAACCAGGAATACGACTGAGGGATACGTTGGACAAGTGCCACAAGAAAATGTGAATGTTTTGAGTCTGATTCTAGGAAGATGGAAAATATTGGAGAGGACTCTGGTAACGAAGAGTGATTAAAAAAACCTATATATGAGCGTCTGCTCTATTCATTTAGAAAAGAAAGAAAAGACAACGAAGCAATCTCTATAAAGATCGCTATCCAAGACCCCAAATTGTAGGTGGAAAAGTTTCGCCGAACATGTGCAGAAGGTCCCTGCCAGAAAGTTTGGAAAATACCTCTACATTTAAGACTCCTGAAATGGTAAGCTATGGACTTGCTTGGAGAAATAGAAATAAATGTGAACCACAAGACTCAGTGGATAGCCATTGTAGAACTCCTCTAACCATTCGAAATTAAATAAAAAAACGCATTTACTTTTGATATAGGTTTTTTAATAAATAGGAAAATTCAAAGATTAGAGAACAATGTAGGTATAAGTTTTTTACATAAATCGACACGCGGCAAGTTAATCACGTCAAATCCTTTGGTTTTAGTACAAACATTAATGTCTTTAGTAACAAACAATTAAGAATCCAATTATTTAAAATTTTATCCAAGACGATTGGTTAATCTTCTCTTCGGTTTCGAAACAGTTTTCTCCATTTTCATTTCGTAATATTCCTTATCGACATCAATAAATCTTGCCAGCCTTTTCATTTGCTTCATTTCTTTTTCGACCATAGGCTCTTCTGTGCCAGGAGGATGCATTCTCATCTACAAGGAAATAAAAGTCAAAATTTGGTTTTAGAAATTATTAAATTTTTTTCTTGCATGTCACACATGAAACACTACTTTTGACCTACCTCGGAAAAAGTCCTAGGTATCTTCTCGCGAAAACCATCTGATAATATTTTATAAATTATAAAAGTAGCTAAAGGAACATATACAACTTCCATGCATAGAACAAAACTAATAATAAATACTAAATAAAGAAAAATAATGTCAAAAAATAGATGTGTGTAGCTTGAATAAAAGAAATATACTACGGTGTATTTTGGTGGTATAAGTGTTATATTAGAGTTAATAATATAAAAAAATACAAAATAACTTAATATTATACATAACTACAAACCCCTAAACCAATCTATTAAAGCCCGCTTACCAAAAATATATAATTTTTATAACACAAAATACGATTTCCCAATTTAAAAATTAATTTTATATTAAGAAATTGTACTTCTTTGTTTCCTGCACCAAAAATTATCAATAATTATTATTTCTAAACTAATATGGTTTAATAAACGGTGTAACCAAAGGAAATTGATAAAGCAGCGGTTAAATTATTATATTAGTGAAAAAAGCAAACTATAATAAAGGAACAATAATTAAAATTAATTGTTAAATATAAATTATCAGATTAGTTTTCTGTGTCCTTATATTGCGTTAGTCTTCTGCTGAAGCCTTTTTAAGACGTTTCTGTAAAAAATTAAAATATTTTTTTATTAGCTGTATTAGCACAAATTATTTTTGTCTTGTTTTTGTATTGAATAGGTATGTAAAAAAATGTTTATAGAATGGATGTAACGTTTCCTATTTATACTACCTATAATAAAATGTGAATTCTCAAAATCTTTTTAAATTGAACTATACATATCATAATATCTTTAAAATTAAGTAACTTATTACTGACCATTATTCTGTATTTTTCCTTGCAAGCATAACTACTTTCATCTACATCTTGATAACAATCGCTTTTGTAGTCTTCAGGAATTGGTCTACCCTCGAATTCGCATAGTTTTTTCAACGGTTTAGCTCTAAACAAAAAAAATATTAATTAAAATTTTAGCTAGCTTTCGATATTTTAAATGTGCACATACTTTACAATTAGTTTATCCATTCCAGAAGGCTTGTGAATAGGGCAATAGAAGACATCTGGCGTGTTTTTATCAAAAACTATACTTTTCCTCATCATACTGTCTTTGACACCAAGAGCTAGTGCTAGTAGGGTTGCAAATATTGCCAAAAATGTCAAAGTATTCATGTCTAAAAATAATAAATATTTGTAAATCAAAAATAAGACCTTCACACTGTTCAATAATATTAGGTATAGAAAATAATTAGCACTTCAATTTTATACTACAAACAAAATTATTCTACATTGACATTTTTATTTTAAATTCGCGAGGTTTGCTTAAATTTCAAATTAGCAATTTATCTGATATATGGAGTCAATAATTAATTATGTTTATTTATATTTATTTTGCATGCTGTTTGCAATATAGGTACCTACATTATAGGTACATAAAAGAAGAAAGAAATAACCCTAAGGCCAAACCTGACAGAAATATTTTAGAAAAAAACCAAATAAGGTAATGACAATTATTATTGTTATCCAATATGAAGAACTTTGAAAATTGCATAAAACAAAGCTTTGTTGAGATTTGTGTGGTAGACCAGGAACCTAACAAAGATTTTCTAAAAATATCTAAAAGAAAAATCTTAAAAACAGATTTCATAATGCAACTTTCACTTTATACTCAAGTTATGTAGGTATTTGATTTTTTCAGCAGCCATGCAGACAATGAACAAAAGTAATTTAATTAAATAAGTATAGAAAATCCACTCACCGTCTGTGTTTGACTTCTTTGATTATATCCTGTTGAATCTAGAACCACTTGCTTGAATAAACCTATAAAAGCCAAAATTCTGGTACCACCGTGTTACCTTTTATGATGATTCAACTAAATTTTATAATGTACCCGACGAAAAACGCCTACCTACTTTTTAGCTGTTCGCTTCAAGAACCTTTCAGCCTTCGCAACTTGGCCAAGGATACGTCATAAGTGAAGTGGGTACTGTTCGGAGTGGTACCAAACGGTGCTTACACAGTCGTAATAATGATGGTGTTAGTCCGAGAGCAAATGATTATTTATTTTAAGCTTTGTTAAAAGCATTTTTTTTGAAGGCTATAGAAACAAATAAAATTTTCATTATTTTAGGGTCCTTATTCAGAACTATCATAGATGCATTTACCTTATACATATTTAACATACATTGATAGTCTTCTTTACACGATTTATGTCACTAACCAAGTTCATATTCTGCTGGCATATACCATTCTACATGATATATATACATTGTTCTGTCTAAATAAAATCACTTAGCACGTAGAGTTTAATATTGTTAATAAGCTAATTTTGACTTTTAATTTAATTAATTTAAACACAAGAAAGAAACACGCATTATTTTCATCATTCCAGTAAATGCACCCAAAATCATTCATCATACACTTTCAGACCTGTCCAAAATAAATCAAATTTACAACTTTTAAATTCTTACGCTCCTAACCAATTATTTAAAACAAGGCAACTGTTGGAGATTCTTAATAATTCGAGTTCACTGCGTGAGTTTATTACAACAATACAGAAGAACATACAGTCTTTGAAAAATTTGAAATATTCTTTCGATGGAATTTAATTCTTATATTTCTTTTTCAAAAAAAAATTAGATTTTGGTACGAAACGTGCCTATGAAATGGAAAGAGATCATTCCAAATTGCCCAATTAAGAGTATTTTATAAAATTTCTTGAAAAGCGTTGTGTCATTCTCGAAAACATTGAAACAAATAGTCCTAAAACACAACGAAGAGTATTTTCTACATATCCTTCTACTTCCGAACACTCGTCCCAAGCCAAGTTCTCTGAAAAAACTCAAAATTCTCAAAAGAATGCACCAGTAACTACTTGTGCTTATTGTGGCAAATCGGGGCACAGGATTTACACTTGCTTTGTATTCAAAAATTTGCAGTATAAAGACAAATCAAAATTTGTAAAATCTAAAAACTTGTGCTTCAACTGCTTGGGCAAACATAATTTAAAAAAATGTGGTTCATCTGAAACTTGTTTCACATGTGCAAAAAAGCATAATTCTTGGCTTCACAATAATATTGCTACAGAAACCCAACATTCTCCTCAACCCAGAAGTAATAATACATTTAGTCGAGCAAATAAAAATTCAAATATCAACAGTTCGGATAGGTCCCACCAAAATGTACATACTAATTCTAATACAAGGCAATTCAATCAGAGTTCCTCGCGAAACAATAATTCCTCTAATAATTCTTCTGAAGATGATCATTTCACGCAAGAAAATGAAGAACGTTCAAATTCCCAAAATTCTCAAAATTTTAATTCTTTAAATCACTCTGCTTTGTGAGTAAAAAATTGCTATGTTCTTTTAGCAACTGCCAAAGTTTGTACACCAAATATGGATAGCCTATTCTAGCCAGGGCTCTACTTGATACAGGTACCCAAACTTCTCTCATAGGTAAGTTAAAAATTAGCACGAAAATTGCAGTGCAATACTTATGATGTTTCTTTAACTATATCATTGGCATAAGTGAAAGCACAACCATTTTTACTAAAATGACAGATATTGAGATATTTTCAAACCTTTTAACATAAATAAAAAGATTGGTGTACCTTGCGCTCTTTTGCCAAATTTAACAGGCAAACTCCCTTAACATCAGATTCTTATTAATCAGTTAGATATTCCTAAATATTTTGTCTTGGCAGATAATGAATTTTATCAACCATCAGAAATTGATATGCTGCTTGGATTGGACTGCTACTATGACATAATCGGAGAGAGTATTGTGAAGCTTGGCAAGGGTCTGCCTGTTTTACAAGAATCACTTTTTGGGTGGATAGTGGCAGGAGTACTTCCTGAAAAAATTTACTTTTTCTAATCTCAATCGCTCTAGCAATGCAGTGGATGGGAATTCTTCCAGTTTCTCTTTTCTCTCAACGTCAAATGTTGAAAATTTCTTGAAAAAGTTAGAAACTCTTATATTATTAACTGAGGATGAACAATTAGCTGAGCAAATTTTCACTTCTACCACTAAATATCTAGAAAACGGAAAGTTTCAAGTTAACCTGCCTTTAAAATCACCAGATAAACATAAAAAGCTCGGTGAATCTTTTTCTATAACGAAAAAACGATTTCTTACTCTCGAAAATAGGTTTAAAAAAGACTGTAAACTTTTTACCCAATATAATGAGTTCATTAAAGAATATGTTTCTCTCGGATATGCTCAATACGTTCCATTAACACTTCACAATTCTTATTTGGAAAATAAATATTTTATTCCCCACTTGTGCGTTATACGTGAGTCAAGTGTTTCCTCTCGCCTGCGTGTTGTGTACGATGCGAGCTGCCCTAGTTCTTCTGGACTATCTTTAAATAATATATGCCTTAAAGGATATCAAGTCCAGCCCGATATTCACATATTGTGTCGTTTTAGATTTTTTCCATTTGTTTTCACGACTGATATCCAGAAAATGTATAGGCAGATTCTTATAAACCCCGACCAGAGATTTTTGCAAAACATTTTATGGCGTGAAAATGCCAATGAGGACCTGAAATGTATACAACTAAATAGTGTCACATATGGCACGAATTCTGCAACGTTTCTTGCTACTAGAGTGTTGAAAGAAATAGCCATTTGTCACGAAAAAGATTTCCCTCTCGCTTCAGAAACGATTTCTAACCAAATATATATGGATGATGGCCTTTGCGGGTCGTTTGATCTAGATTCAGTCCTTAAATTACATTCAGAACTAAGTTCTCTACTCAAATCATATGGCTTTTTATTACATAATTATTGTTCTAACTCTGAAGTTTTTCTAGAAAAGATTTCTGAGATATCTAGTTCTAATTCGCTTGATATTAATTTTCACAACACCTCTAATAAAGTATTAGCGTTACATTGGAATCCAACTTCTGATACACTATGTATTTTAGTGCCGGAAACTTTAAATGTTTTTCCTATTACAGAGAGAAAAATACTATCGATCATTGCACAGTGTTATGACCCAAACGGTCTAATAAATTGTGTGATAGATTCTTATTCAAAAATTATGGATTTTAATACTGGAATGGGATACCATTGTAACAGATCCAGATATTATTTCCGAATTTAATGCGTTTATTCAGGACCTTCCTTTATTATCAAATTTAAAAATTCCTCGTTTTTATTTTACCAATAAAATCATTTCCAAATTCGAATTGCATGGTTTTGCTGATGCAAATTTATCTGCCTACGGATGTTGTGTATATTTTCGTGCTTTATATGTAGATGGCACTATCTCTTCCACTCTTGTTTCATCAAAATCAAGAATTGTTCCGGTCAAATCAGTGACCATCCCTAGATTAGAGTTATGCGCATTGCTACTGCTTTCCAAACTTGTAAAAAAGTTGAGGTTAATTTTCAAAAATAAAATTATATTACTGATGTGAAGTTATCAGACAAAAGTTATCAGACAAAAGTTATCAGACAATTTTCCGGAAACAGCCGAAAGTTCAGTGGCGTCGGTTGTTTTATATATGTATATTTTACCTTTATCTCTTGTAACAAGGGCTTATTAGGTGCTCCCTAAGGATATCACATGAAAATTCCCAATATTTTCTTATTATTAGTAGGTACAAATCTACGGTCATTGAAATTTTTGAAGGTGAAACTGTTGCTAAACATTTCTCAAAAACTGTCCGTAATGACAGGTTCAAATTATTACTAGACATTATTTAGATCACAAAGAACATTAAAAAAAAATTAACCACACCCCTGCGCCCCTTCGGTCTATGAAATTTTTAAGGGTGCAATACGGTGAAATATGTTTTTCAACTTTTCTCAAAAACGGCCCATACTGACAGGTTCAAATTATTACTAGACATTATTTAGATCACCAAGAACAATAAAAAAATTTACCATACCCCTGCGCCCCTACGGCCTTTGAAATTTTTAGGGGTGTAATACGGTGAAATATGTTTTAGCATCTCTCAAAAACCGTCCGTACTGACCGGTTCAAATTATTATCAGATATTCAAGTCACAACCCACATAACAATGAAAGAACATTCATATTCTCAGAATATTCCCTCAAAGTGCTTTTTGGAATGTTTTTTAGGAATGTTTAATGAATATTCTAAGACTGTTTCGATTGAAATATTCATTTTTGAACGTTCTATTTATGTACTAGGAATG